CCAGAAAGTCCACACAAACACCTGGGGAAACCAGACACTCAGACAGAGAACCAGTAGGTGATGATGAAGACAGAGCATTTAAGGAAACTCCAAAGCAGAAACTGGAGTCAGCAGAAAATGTAGCTGGAAGCAAGAAGCGGTCAAGGACACCCAAGACCAAGGCTCCACCCCTGGAGGACCTGATTGGATTCAAAGAGCTCTTCCAGACCCCAGATCATGTCAAGGAACCAATGACTGATGACAAAACCCCCCAGATACCCTGTAAATCTCCACGACTGGAACCTGTTGACACACCAGCAAGCAGGAAGGGACGGCTCAAGACAGCTCCCCGAAAAGCAGAGGTGCAGGAAGGTCTCTCCGCCCTCATGAGGCCCACACAGACTTCAGGGGACACCACGCTCTCACACAGAGGACCAGAGGGTGGTGACAGAGGCACTGCAGTGTCTCAGGAAACTCCAAAGCCGAAACTGGACTCAGCAGAAAATGTAGCTGTAAGTAAGAGGCGGCCCAGGACACCCAAGGAAAAGGCCCCACCCCTAGAGGACCTGACTGGCTTCAAAGAGCTCTTCCAGACCCCAGATCACGCAAAAGAACCAGTGGCCGAGGACAAAACCACCAGAATACCTTGTAACTCTCCCCCAGCTGAGCCCGTCACCAGGAGAACAAGTAGGAAGAGACGGCTCAGATCCCCGCCAGGGAAAGCGGGCGTGGGAGAGGTCTCAGCGCTCGGGGAGCCCTCGCTGACGCCAGGGGATGCCACACACAGAGAAGCTGTAGGGGATGAAAAGGACGTCCAAGTGATTAGAAAAACTTCAAGGCAGAAACTGGACTCAACAGAAAAAGTAATCGGTGTCAGGAGTCGGCTAAGATCATGTAAGGAGAAGACCCAACCCCTGGAGGACCCGCGTCTCAAAGAGCTGGTCCAGAAGCCCCGTCAGACCAAGAGAACAATGAGAGCTGCTAAAGCCACGACAGTGCCCTGCCAGTCTCCCCCCGCAGAACCAGCCCCCGGGCCGACGGGGAGAAAGAGACGGCTCAAGTCCCCACCAGAGAAAGTGGACGTGGCCGAGGTCTCAGCGCTCAGGGAGCCCATCCAAGCACCGGGGGAGACCACGCGCACCCACGGAGAACCTGGCAGTGAAGAAAAAGACACCCAAGTGTTTAGAAAACCTTCAAGGCAGAAACTCGACCCTTCAGAAAATATAATGGGCATGAAGAGTCGGCTAAGAACATTTAAGGAAAAGACCCAACCCCTGGAGGCCCCGGACAGTCTCGAAGAGCTGGTCCAGAAGCCAGATCAGGCCAGGGAGCAAACAAGTGATGCTAAGATCCCTGTGATGCCCTGCCAGTCTCCACCAGCACAACCAGTTACCAGGCCAACAAGTAGGAAGAGACGGCTCAGGTCCCCGCCAGGGAAAGCAGGTGTGGGAGAGGTCTCAGCGCTTGGGGAGCCCACGCTGACGCCAGGGGACGCCACACACAGAGAAGCTGTAGGGGATGAAAAGGACGTCCAAGTGTTTAGAAAAACTTCAAGGCAGAAACTGGGCTCAGCAGAAAAAGTAATCAGTGTCGGGAGTCGGCTAAGATCACGTAAGGAGAAGACCCAACCCCTGGAGGACCCGCGTCTCAAAGAGCTGGTCCGAAAGCCCCGTCAGGCCAAGGAGCTGGGCAGTGGTGCTGCTGGCGTCAAGAGAGCCCCAAAGGAAGCACCTGATGGAAGAAACCCTGCAAAAATACCCCAAAGGGTCCTCAGAGCCCCTAAATTAAGATTCATGGAAGACCTCGACCTTGCGGGCAGCGAAGACCCCATGAAATCACCAAGTGCAAGCAGCGTTTCCCCGCCGCCCCCCAAGAGGAGACGGGGGGAGGATGGAAGTGTCACAGGAAGGAAGACACTGCGCTCCACGACTGCCACAAAGGACACCGTGGGTGAGAAGCCACCCCAGAAACCAAGTACAGCCCCCAGGGACGGATGGCCACAGCCCGAATCCTTGGTAATGAGGAAGAAAAGTCTGAGAACTTTGGCACAAAGGACTGAACAAGTGGAGAACCTGCCTGATGGTGACACGAGAGCCAAAGCTATGGGCCGACAAGCAGAAGACGCACACCCTCCAGCTAAGGTGAGGGACGTGCTATGTCACCCTCCTGCGTCCTCCAGGAGGGGTGGTCTCCATTTGGGTTCAGCATTCGGTATAAACTGAATGTAACCTGAACGTATGTGGGGTACCCTCTCCAGGGGGGTCTGCACTCAGCACAGTGAGTGACTACGGACCACGCTGAAGCATCCTTTGGGGTTTTACAGAGAGAATGAGCTAGCTGGGGAAAATAACTGGTCAAAATTAGTATCATATGTTTTGACAAGAGCTTCTCGAGAACTGAGTTGTGTTCACCTTCAGAGGTGTGGGGCACGGGGCCGAGGAAAGGTGGGCAGCTCAGTCCTGCACTGTTCAGACACTAACCCCGAGGGCTGGGTAGGTGTGGTTTGTGGTCAGGTTTTAAACGATGAAGACAGTAGACAGGGCACGTGTGTCCTGGGGAGCCCGTGGCTGCTGGGGGGTCAGACAGGCGTTACTGCTGCAGGAGAGAAGCCTGTAAATTCCGTTCCTGTCCTGCTCTAGCAACGACTGTTAAAGAGTCAGAGATTCATTTACTGCCTGAAGAAGAGGGCGTTTTCCTGGAAGACCCTTTGAATGCTTGTTAGAATCAGACTGACACTTGTGACATTCAGGCGTTGATTGAAATTGACACCGAATTCCATACTCAGGGTTTATCAGTAGAGACGGTGATTTCTCCAAAGGGACAAAGTGTCAGGCGCCCCCCTGACTTCCTCAGATTATGGGCACCTTCAAATATTAATCAGTGTAAAATTTTCCAGCTAATTCCCCTTGGAGTTCACTTTGGATTGTTTCTGTCCATGGTGAGCTTTGAAATCTGTATTCCTCACTGTTGGTGTTTTGTGACTGTCTTTTGAACATTTTTAGGGAATGTCCCTGCGTTCAAGGGGCCGGAGTAAAACCGATATGGGAGAGCAGCAACCTGAGGCTCTCATATCAGCAGAAAAGGTGAAAATGAAGAGAAACGAGAAGAAGCCCTTGAAGACGTCCCAGGAGAAGCAGCTCCAGAGGCCAGAAGAAGGAGCCGACCATCCTGCCTCCGGGGGCCAAGTTCAGGAGCGCAGGATGTGCTTGAGGTCGCGGAGACAGCAGAAGACACCTTCGCCTGCTGCAGCGGAGGAGAGCGCCGGGGAGGAAGGGGCGGGAGCCCACGGGGGGAGCCAGGAAGGGGAAGGGGCAGCGGAACGTGCAGGCCTCCCGGGCTTGAGATCAAGAAGGACTGCAGCCCACCCTCCAGCAACCCCTGCGGAGAGCGAGTCCGAGCGGAGGGTGACGCGGGGGGCCAGGAGACGTGCCGGAGGCCCGCCAAAGGCAGGTGGGTGATTTGCCGTTTCTCTGTTTTTATGAGCCTAGGGAGTTTCCATTTAATTTTCGTTCCCTGTTGCGAGAGCAAACACAACACACGCTCTGCGGCAGCACGCTGCCCGCCCCCGGGGA